TAGAAAGTGATGTTCTCCTATATTAATTTCCTTTCTAGGTTTTCTCTTGAACTAGTAATAGAAAGCCATTACTCCACTGCTGAAGTTTCAACCAGTTTACAATAACTGATAAGAAATTTTAACCACAGGATTTAGAACACATCCCTTCACTAAGCAACCAAGGGCATCTAAAGGATCACTTTTGCTTTAGGATTAATCTGAGACATAGCAGAGAAAAGAGAAAACCATCTCAAAAAAAAAAAGTTCCAAAACAATACAAAAACTTTCTTTCAAACGCTCAAATTGCTGAATCAGAATTTAAGGCTACATTTAATGTTTTTTTTAAAAGCTCAAAGAGAATGTGTACAAAGCAGCGTTAGTAAACATCCTTTTTTCAATTACTGATGCCAAATCTGAAATCCTGTGGTAATTCCTTTGGGCCATGATGATCTAAGAGCAATTTTATGTGTATGTTTTTGGTCACACCTGGAAACATTTAAGGCTGCCACGACATATATGCTAATACTTACGAAACAGGGCCTGCAGATTAGATACATGTGCAAATTTCAAATTATTGTTTCATGCAATTTAAAAAGAGCACAGCATGGTGTAGGACAGCTACCCCCAAGGGGAAAAATTGCTATTCCATGGCAATGGGTGACATATGGGAATACAAACAGAGCTAACTATGCATACTAAAACCCTGGCAGGACTTGTAAGATGAGCCTGACAAATTACATACAAACTTGCTCTGCTCACAATGGTCTTTGACATTAGAAAAATTTAATTTTTCAACTACATAAAAATTCGTAACAGGAATTTCTATTAAAATTAATATATTTTACATTCATTCCCTCTACTAGACAGGGAAGGAGTTATGTAAATGTTAAGAACAGACCTCATTTCTTCTATACTTCAGACCTAAAATACCCAATATATATATTTCAATTAAACCATATGCCAGAAAAGTTCAATATATTATATATTTTCAATTCTGAAAATTATTAAGTATTCAAAATCTACAATTATTTTTATTATAAAATCCAAAATACAGAGCAAATGTTAAATTCTCACAGCCACCCTAGGAGGTAGACACTTATCCCCATTTTACAAGGGAGGAAATTGAAGCACAGAGATTAACTGCCTTGACCAGGGTCACTCAGTTATTAAGTGCCTGAGGTCAAATCTGAACTCAGGTTAGTTTGTGGAAGGAGTATGTACAACAGCACCAGGGGAATCAGGAAAGGCTTCAGTACAAGATGGCACCTGAGATGAATTTTGAAGGTAACAAGGGATTCAAGGAAGCAGTATGATGTAGTAAAATGAATGCTATACTTGATGTAGAGTTTTTCCCCATGATGAGTTCCACCTAAAAATTAGAATGTGTATTCTTATTTATTTTTCTAAAAAGAATTTTATAAGCTGTATTATAAACAAACTTGAAAAACGTTATCTTTGCATTGTTTGTTCTCTTAACACTGTATCTCATGTTTTAAAATCTGTGTTAAGGGTATGCTACTAGAAAATTTGACTAGGTAGGAAAATCTCTTTTTCTCTGTTCTGTATATACCTAGAAAGATGAAGTTCATCAATTTGAAGGTGCTTATTTAAGAAATGCTTACACAAACTAGTACCTCCAGAGAGAGAACTAATGAATTCTGAGAGCACAATAAAGCATACTTTTTAAACTTTATTTTTCTTGGAATTTTTTTGTTTTCTTTTGCAACATGACTAATATGGAAATAAGTTTTGCATGATTTCACACGTATAATCGACATCATATTGCTTGCCCTTTCAAGGCATGCAGGAAGGGTAAGATAAGGGAGAGAATTTGAAACTCAAAATTTTAAAAACTGAAATGTTAAGACTTTAGCAGAGTTACAGGATATAAAATAAACCCACATAAATCATCAACATTTTTCAATATTACCAACAAAGGCCAACAGCAACGGACAGAAGGAGTAATTCAATTTAATATAACTATAAACAATACAAAATACTTGGGAATCTACCAGCCAAGACAAACCCAGGAACTTTTTACAAAATAATTTTCACACAAATAAACTCAGATCTAAACAACTGGAAAAATATGAATTGTTCAAGGGGAGGGACAAGCCAATATAATACAAATTAGAATTAAGAGCCATATCAGATTACAAAAAAAAAATTATACAGAGTTAGAAAAAATAATGAAATTCATCTTAATAGAACAAAAATTCAATAATATCAAGGGATTTCATTAAAAAAAAACCTGTGAAGGAAGGTGGGCTAGCCACCAGATCTCAAACTGTATTATAAAGCGATGATCATCAAAACTATTTGGTACTGGCTAAGAAATAAGAGTGGTGGATCAGTGGAATAGATTATGGTCACAGTACATTATAGTAAATGACCATAGTGATCTAGTGCTTGATTGGGACAAGAATTTACTATTTGACAAAAGCTGCTAAAAAAAGCTGGAAAATAGTAAGGTAGAAATTAGACATAGACCAACATCTTACATTATATACCAAGATAAGGTCAAAATGGGTACAGGATTTAGACATGAAGGTGATGCCATAAACAAATTAGGACAGCAAGGAATAATTTACCTGTCAGATCCATGGAGAAGCGAAGACTTTGTGACCAAACAAGAGATAGAGAGCCTTACTATTTGTAAAATGGATATTTTGATTTTACTAAGTTAAAACTGTTTTACATAAACAAAACCAATGCAACCAAGATTAGAAGGAAAGCAGAAAGCTGGGAAATAATTTTTACAGCAAGTGTTTATGATAAAATATATAGAGACTGAGTCTGAGTATTATAAGAATACAAGTCATTCCCCAATTGATAAATGGTCAAAGGATATGAACAAGTAGTTTTCAGATTAAGAAATCAAAGCTATGTATAGTTATATGAAAAAATGCTCCAAATCACTATGATTAGAGAAATGCAAATCAAAACATCTCTGACTTACATGAACTGATGCAAAATGAAGTGAACAAAACTAGAACATTATTATATACAGTAAAAATAATATTTATGATGATCAACTGTGAATGACTTAGCTATTCTCAGCAATATAATGATCAAGACAATCCCAAAGAACTCATGATGAAAACTGCTATATCCACATCCAGAGAAGAACTGATGGAGTCTGAATGCAGATTGAAACACACTATTTTTCATTTTATTTTCTTCATTTTGTCTATTTCTTCTTTCACAGCATGACTAATATGGAAATATGTTTTACATGATTCCATGTATATAACCTATATCAAATTGCTTAGGGAGGAGAGAAGTGTGGGGAAGGAGGGAAAAAAATAGGAACTCAAAAATTTTTAAAAACTGAATGTTAAAATTATCTTACATGTAATTGGGATAGATTTAACAAAATAAATTAAAACAAAAGAAAGAAATGCTTACACAGAAACAACAGCTACAGCAAGGCAAAGGGAGAAAACCACCACCAGAGGAAAAAAAGCAAATGTTGAAAAATTACATGGAACATGCATGGCCACTAAGGAAGAAGTACTCTTTTGTAATTTTGCACTCTTTTGTAATGGTGGGAGGTCCACATTGTAACAATGCATGTATTTTCAGATTTTTTAAATTGCATTAATCAGTTTTGTTGATTTCTCTCTCTCTCTTTTTTTAGTTCTTTGTTGTACAGAATCTCTCTCTGGGAGAAGAAAGTAGAATGCTGGGGAAATTTTGTGCAATATGACAACAAAAGACATCAATATAATTTTTTTAAGTACTTACTGTCACTTGCCAAAAGTAATGAAACTAGCTAGAAAGTACTAGAGCCCAGAGGGAGGACCACAGCGCATTGTCTAGGTCCCCTGTGGCTGATCTAGAAGACTGTGTGTAAAAGGAAGAAAGGATAGAAAGTATGGCTCAGGTAGCAACCTTCATCAATGCAGGAAGTACACAATTACCATCTACAGGGGCAGCTAGGTGGCGCAGTGGAAAGAGCACCAGCCCGGCAGTCAGAAGGACCCGAGTTAAAATTAGACCACAGACACTACCTGTGTGCTGGCCAAGTCACTTAGCCCCAAGTGCCTCCCTCAAAATTACTATTTACAGTATTTATAAATCTAGAAAATAAACAATACATCACAGAAGATATAGCTATTCACCGACAGAAAAGATATGTTCCAAAACTCTTTTGAAGTTTGTAGAGATCTCATTTAATTCAAATCAACAGGCAGGCATTTATTAAGGGGCCAATTACTGGTAGAGCAGTGCTAGGCCCCGTGCAAAACACAGAGTTTAAATCAAATGGGGTCCCTGTTCTCATGAAGCTTACAATCTGGCAAAAGAATAAGTAACATATATAAAAACAACCAACGTGAAAAATAACACATAATTGGATAAAAGAATTTTTTTCAAGCAAAATACTATGAAAACAGGAAGGTAAGACTTCCTGGTGGAGAAAGAAGATAAAGATGCCTTCCTCCTCTATGTAAAGTGATGAATAGTAAAGAATAAAAGAAATGGTCAAACACAGCCAGTGTGTTTTAAGTTACTGAGAAGTGGCAACGTTGTTATTGTTATCTTTAAGTTATCATTAAAAATTTTGATTTACTGAAATACATATGATGCCACAATTAAACACTGAATAATATGTGTAGTTATCAAAATACCTACATAACTCTCCTCTTTCATATCTACAAGACACCTGCTTTCCTGGTCTTCATTCATCCTCTTTGGAGCAATGTGAATCAGACATACTAACTGACGCAACGACTTCTTAATGACTATTTACATCTTTGGGGCCTCCCTCTCAAAGTGTCTGAAAAACAGTAATTATTTCTCACAGGACACAAATGGCATTATCCCAATTTACAGAGGAGAAAACCCAAACAAAGACAGAAACTGGTGTTTGCATATAACTTCAATGACAGATAGCTCAGTACTTTCACTTCAATTATGACACTAACATTGTTGTCATGGAAAATCAACTTACACACAGTCCCTTTCTTCATTTAAAACATTTAAAATAAAGGTAAGATACAAAAGAGTAGATGAAATGTAGATGTCAAGGGGAGGGGGGGGAGAAGGAAGGCCTCCTAGAGGAAGTAACCCTCGAATTAAGTCTTAAAGGAAGACAGAGATGCTAAGCAGCAAAGGACAGGAGACAGAACATTCCACGAATTTGAGAAAGGTAGGGCAAAGGCAGGAGAAGAAGATAGGGCATTGTGTGCAGGTAAAAGCAAGTGGGTCAATGTAGCAGGATCCCAGGCTGTCTGGAGACAAATAATGACTAAAGAATTTTAAATACCAAATTGAGGAATTTATAATTGCTCCTTCAGGCAAGCGGAAACCATGAGAGTATGAGGAGCAGAGGTGACATGATCAGACCTATGCTTTAGAAAATTCACTTTGGCAAGTTGTGTGGAAGATGCATACTGTGCGGAGAGGCTTAAGGAGTCCAATGAGAAGGGGCTGTGTGCAACAGTCCAGGCAACTAGCTAATAAGAACCTATACTATGGTGGTAGCTGTTTAAGTGGAAAAAAAGGCACATGTACCTGACAAAACGTGTAAAGGTAGAAAGGATAGTATTTAACAGATTGGAAATATTGGGGTGGGCAAGAAAGAATTAATAATTCAAAGGTTGTAAACCTGGGGGCTAGAGACTGGGGTGGATAGAAGGGGTCCTTGTTTTAAAAAAAAATTTAAGATATGCTTGGTTCTGGGTGGGAAAGGTGATAAATTTTGTATGGGACATGCTGAAATTGAGATGGCTATAGGATATACAGTTCAAAATGCTCAACAGGCAGCTGGTGATACAAGACTTTATAGTTTAGGAGAGCAACTAAGACCAGATTAATCAATCTGGGAATCATCTGCAGAGATGTTATACCTTAAAATTGCTACAACAACACTTTTACTGGTTATATAAGCCCTTATTAGAAAACACAGCTGCTTAAGAATGAAGACAAACATCCAGCAGGAATTAGCTGGTGCTCATATAGCAAAGTGTTAACAATTTTACTGTTTGCTAATTTTCATTCCATGTAGGTACAATGATGAAAACAAATAGGGAGGTTTCCTTAGAAGTGATAATAACCGATTTCAATTTTATTTATGATAGGAAAACAAAATGGATAAAATAGAATCTAAGTTTTTCTCCATTTATCTTAGATTTTTACCAGTGAGAATCAGGCACCAACCTTAATATGTATCAGTTTGGTTTTAAAACCTGTAAGTCTTTGTCTCTTCAAAGACAACAGGATTCTAACAGCTAATACAAAATAAAATGGTAAACATTTTAAGCTTGAAGAGATATTGAGAGACTGAGGCTGCCACACTAAGGTCTTTGAAAAACTTCTCTAATCTGAATTCTGAGTCTGAATCATTTCAGAGTGGTCCCATATCCTCCCAGACTCTAATCAGGGGTTCTCAACCCGGGCTACATTAGTTGATTTATTAAAAATATTTTGATAACTATATGGAAATTGGTTTCCTTTGTAAACCTATATATTTTATTTTATGCATTTAAAAACATTCTGAGAAGGGGTAGGTCCATAAGGCTTTACTAGACTGTCAAAGAGATAGATCAAAAAACCAGTTAAGAACACTTACATTAAATGATATCATTTTTTATTCCAATATTGAATTCCCTTCCTTCTGGTTACTAGACCATTAACAAAGCTGAATTCTGCGTCAGAGGATCTTGGCAAACCTAGCAAGTCATTCAAACTCTGAGCCTCAGTTTCCTTATCAGTAAAATGGAATGAGTGGCCTATATACCTTCCCAAGTCCCCCTAACTTCTAGATTCCATCCACAGAGATCCTTTAAAATTTATCAAAAGGAGATGAACAAGACAGCATCAGCTGAAATCATTAGTAAAAATAAAATTTCAGTTAGATACTAGTGAGTTGATGGTAGACTAGCCAGCTACAGCTGTTAATAATCACTGATAATCTTACACAGGAATCACTGCCAAAGATAAACCCAACAAAAGGACGGGGAGGGGGGCACGGCACTGCTGCAAGAAAAGGGCCTTTTTCAGAGGGTGTAATCTGAACTGAGTCTTGAAAGAAACCAAGGAAGCCAGGAGGCAGAGGTGAGCAATGAAAGCATTTCAGGCATGGAGAAGAGCTAGTACAAAGTCATGGAGTTTAAGATGAGTGTCATGTGAAAAACAATTAGTATGCCAGTGTCGCTAAACAATAGAATACACTGATGACTGGAGTAAATGTAATTAGACTGGAAAGGTCGGAAGGGATCAGTCTGTAAAAGGTTCCAAATGCACAACAAAAGCGTGTATATTGAATTCTGGAAGTAATAGGGAGCTACTGAAGTTTTACTGAGTGGGGGTGAGTTTCTTATTCCTACGAACTCACGAATCCAAACAACAAATTTCTCTAAACTGCTTATACATACATGTTTCTTTCTCCAAATGTGCCTATACAATCATTTGTAATCATCCTATGGTTTACTGTGTTAAGGGAGAATGCAAATGATTCTGAAGACAGAACTAATGGTTTTCCCCAAATATTGTTTCCATAGAGTATTTCTTTCAGTATACCACAAGTCACTTCCCCAACGTGTCTCTAAAAGTGACAAGATTCCCCCTTCACAGGTGACACCACTGGTCTCTTAAAAAACCTTATCTCCTTTGTTTTAGATAATTTAGGTGAGCCCAAGACAACCAAATCAAAACAGATTCTCTCTTTTTTTTAAATTATATTAAAAATTATAAAGCTAAAGAAATCAAATTAATTCCAATAACTTCCATTAATTTAGCACTAACTTTTACTACAAAGTCTACTTCAAAAAATAAAACAAAAAACCCCCAGAATTCTGAACTTGATGATTAAGCCCACATAAATGATATTTAAATTTGGATTAAAAATTAAAGTTGTTTTCTGATGTATCAGAAACAACTGCTTTGCTTTCTATTCAATGAAGTCTAAGATACAGATGGAGACAGTGTGCACAAGTGAATAACTACACAAACAAAAAATCAAAAGTGAATGTTGCAAAAACTAGAAAGATCAAGCATGACTCCTCCCCACCCCACCCCCCAAAAAAAGTGATGAAAGGCCATTCTCAGGCCACCCCTTCGTGGAAGAAGATGGGAAGCTCACAGTTGTGGCACACTGTACAAGTTTTAAGACCATTTTCAATATATTGATTATTTATGCTTATTTTTTCCTTTTTCTTTTCTTTTTGTCCTTAAAAAGGTCTTTGTTATATGAGATGAATCTCTGGAAGATGCAAAATCAAGGATACTGGGGTAAACTACAAGAAAGTAAAAAACAAACGACATTTTACAAGCAGAAAGTAATGTGTGCAATATGTAATGTATGCTTTTCAAGAAAGCTCGGGGTATGAACATGTTTCACATGCCATCATCTTTTTTGTTTTCTGGTGTGAATGCAGAAATGCTCATTTGGGGGAAGTATTTAATTTCAAAATAAAACTAATATTTAAAAGGAACAGAAAAGAAAAAATCTAGATGCTAAGGCACTTTTTGAATTTGGTGGCTTACAGGACCAGTGAGCATGGCTATGGAAGCAAGCAGTAGGTCCAATTTCCTCATATAACATTTGTTAATTGACCATTCATTGAGCCTTCTGAGACTTTCAAGAAGTCCATCATGGTCAAGTCTGTGTTTCATTAGTCTAGATTAGACCAAGCATCCTTGGAAAACTATATTTCTCCTTTTCACATCATTTACTTGGGAAGAAACTCCTCTAGGTAAGCTATAATGTCTTATTTATTTGTCTTCCTCAATGCCTAACAGTGTTTTATGTACAGCAGAACACTTTCTTGTTGAATTTATTAAAATGTTAAATAAGGCCACTCAAACCAATTCCTAGGGTCTGGTTCACTATAAAAAATATTTTTCTATCCAGAAGTGAGCTTATTCTTCATTTCACGTTTTTAAGCCAGTCTTTGATGTTAGCTAACATTTAGTAAGAACTTACTCTGTAGTGATCCTGAGACAGTGAGGTAGTTAAAGGTAACTAAGTCTGTACCCTCACAGTACTTACAGTCTAGTCTGTATTTCACTTCCCAGTGTAGATGAATGCCTAGCTGCCTTCTATGTTGTCATTAACACCCTAATTCTAAATAGTAATGTAACCTGGGCTTTGGGCCAAATAGTAAAGTACAGTTTGAAAATACTTGCCTTATACAGAACCAAAGACAGAAAAAAGGCATTCTGTATTACAGAGGAGAGATCTTGGATATAGACTTTGGTTTCTATGTCACAGCCACTTTCATTATGCAGAAACATTTATGCCCCTTATACTATAATCAGATTAAGAAAAAACCATGAAAATTTACTTTCAATTTTAGGATAGACCCCAGGTAGAAGGCTTACGTAACTCTTTCCCAAATGAACTAGCTCACACATCACATCACCAAAAGAGACTACTGGGCTAATTTAGTAGTTATAACTAATTGAGAAACTATGTTATAATGAAGCCATTCTAAAACTTCTGTAGTACACCAAATACAAGTAGACTGGGGAAAATTATCACACCTCAATACAGATAAAATACACTTCAGGATATTATATGAAAGTACAATGTATTCTCATTAACATCTAATGCTGTTGTCTCCTCCCCTCCCCTTACACCCAGGTCATTATCTACTGAGACATGTGGTTCCACATTCAGTATTGTCTATTTGAAGAAGGACAAACTAATATTCTGCGCTGCATTACGCTGTGAGCTTCTTGAGGACAAGGACTGGCTTTTGCCCCTGTTTGTGCCCCTGGCTCTTGTCATGGCGTCTGGCATTAATTATTGATTTACTATACCAATCAATCTTTTTTCATTATGTTGTAAGTGTAGCTTAAAATACTAAAATATACTCATTGCAGTTACAAAAATGAACTAAAAATTTTAAGCCTATTTAAAAAAAAACAAACAGAAAATATAGTTGAGGAAAATCAATTTTTTCACATACAAAAAACGACTACCTACTAAAAATTTGTTTGCTTTTGTCATTCCTTAAAAATAATTTAAATGGAAACCAGCAAAGATGATGAAGTGAGAGGATGAAGAACAGCCTAACTACAAAGGTTCAAGAAAGACAACAGCCCAAGGAATGATTAGAAAATCCAAGAAGACTACTGGACAAGATGACTGCCTGAATATGGTGACTGCCTAGCTACCCACTCCAGCAAAACCCTAAAACTCATCCCAAATCAAATTAATGATCAAGAAATTCCAATGAGAAAGACAGTGATTTGTTATGTTCCACAACTGCACACAAAGCAAGCCAGAAGGCCAAAAGTAACAGGAAACATGGCCCTCATCCTCCCACCACTATCACCACTACCAGCATGGTACGGGTCCATTGTGGTACCACTGGGTTCAAATAGGGACATCCTACTTAGACCCAAGGGACATACGGGCCTAACACTTGTCTGAGACTCCAGAGCAGGGCCTGAAGATCTAATGCTCTGAACCTCACACCCACAGGGCTTAAGGTAAAGATAAGAACTAGAACCTAGGGGAAACCAGCAAGATCTAAGAGGGCCCACACCCTAGAAGCAAGTGTAGTAGGGTAGGCAGCCTAGTCCTGGCACTAAGCTTCAATTTGGTAACTAACGTTCACAAACTAAAGTTGTAGAGATAAGTAAATCAAAGAATGAATGAATACAGCATTAATTAAGTGCTTACTATGTGCAAATCACAGAGTGCTAAGCAATGGGAATACAAATAGTAAAATGGTCCCTCCTTCAAGAAGCTCACATTTTAAGTGGAAAAGAAACTGAAAGAAAACACTGACAGGTATCAAAAATTATTGCAAATCTTGAGATCCTCAAAAAAAGGATCCAGAAAAACTGCAAGCAGAGACTAAAGGGGAAAAAAATATTTTCTGTAAGGCCTACATGAATACCAGTAAGAAATGAAGAGATTAAAAAAATGAAATAAAAGCTGTGGAGGTGAGAATTATGAGAGCATATAAATAAGAGAAAGTGTTAAATTAACACTTTGCCCAAGAAATAATCTCCCTGAAAACTAGAATAGACAAAGCTATTGGAAAAAAAAATAAGAAAATATAAGTTGTCTGATATTAAAAACCTGGAAACCAGGTCAAAGAGAAATAATTTTAAAATCACTGCACTCCATGAAAACCGTAGGAGACAGGGGCGGGGAGAGCCTGGACAATGTATTTCCAAAAAGTTACAAATGAAAATGACATTGATCTATCTGAAGCAGAAGGCAAAGTAAAGTTAGAAAGAATCCACCATCACTTCCTGAAAGAAAGCCCAAAAGGAAAACTCACAGGAAGGTCACAGCCCAAATCCAGAACCCCAACATCAAAACATTTACTGCAAACGTTGAGAAAGAAGCAGTTCAAGTACTGTAGAACAACAGTCAGGATCACCTGGTAGCTTCTATGAAAAACAAGAGAAAATACTGGGATACAACACTCCAAAAGGCAAAAGAAAAAGGTTTATAAGCAAAATTATTTACCTGCAAAGCTAAGTATAATTCTACAGGGAGGAAAACTGGATGTTTAACAGAATGGAGGAGTCTGGGTTATGAATCCATCATGGACTGGGCAGGAGGTTGAGGCAGATCCAGGACAAGGTCTAAATTTGTGTAATGGGCAAGGAACAGGAATGCTCACAGAAGCGAGCCACAGTTGTGCGGTTCTCAACCTGATCGGTGTTGCAGATTCAAGCCACAGACCCAAGCTGGAGCCTAAAGCTAAGTAACCACAGCAGCTTCCAGCCTGAGCCACCCCTGAAATCATTAAAGACAACAACACTCAATATTCAAAGAAAGCAAGAGTCCAAAGAATACATATCAGGACCCAGAAATGCCCTCAAATTCCATGCAAGATTTTACAGATCATGTACAATATTCAAATTTAGTAAATAAAACCAACCAACTAAAAAAAAAAAACAGCAACAGAACAGAAAAAAAGATACCTACAATAAAGAGCTATTATGGAGCCAAGACACAAATCTAGAAAAGGTGAACTACTATTACAGTATCTACAAGCAAAGTCTTAAATGAAAACACAGTTTAAGTACAGTCAAGTAGAATTCCCTTAAGAAATAAAACAAGATAATCTTAAGCAAAAAAAAAAGTGAAAATGATATTATAAATAGAATGAAAAGGCTAGAGAAGAGATTTAAAGAGAAAGGGGAGTTCTAGAGGAAAGATTTGTAAGGAGAATTAACAATTTTTTACAAGGAATATAAAATCTCATCCAAGTAACAGTCACTAAAAATTGGAAGGTACATAACAAAAGTTAATGACTCCATGTGACAAGAAACATTAAAACAAAGTTTAAAAAACTGAAGAAAAAAAGTAGAAAGTTTAGGATACAAAATTCAGAGAGACAAAAGATAAAGGCAAGAATAAAACTTATTTTCAAGAATAACTTACCCATCAAAACTGAGTAATTTAAAAAAATGATCTTAATGAAGCATCGGATTTTCAAGTATTCCTAATTTTAAAAAAAGCTCAAGCAGAAACTCTGAAATGCAAAAACAGGAATCAAAAGAAATGTAACATGGGAGGATACTATTTGAGCATCTGGAAGGAAAAAGTATTTCTAATAATGGGAGAGAAGCAGCACGCGTCCCCTAAGAATGCTAATGTCACCAAAAGTCATAGAAAAAGTGAGATAAGACAAAGGGCCTGAAAATGTTTTTGTCATGTTCTGATCATCTTAAAAGGAGAAAAGGAATATAGGAAAGAAGACAGGAGGAAAGGAAGGGAAAATTTGCTATCTCACATAATCCAGGCATGCAAGTCTAACACTAAACAAATAAGGATGAAGGTGTTGGGGAGTAGTCATTTGAAAGGAGAATAGAACCCACAAGAGTTGAGCATAGAAATATTCAACTCCACAAGAAAACAGAAAGGAATAGGGAGAAGGGGAAATAAGCAGGAGAGCAGAGTCAAGGAGGAATTAGTCATAAGAAAAATAAACTCTAAGTAAAAGTGGGGCAGAAATTATGAAAAGGCAGGGCAGCCAGGTGGTGCAGTGGATAGAGCTCTGGCCTTGGAGTCAGGAGGATCTCAGTTCAAATCCAGCCTCAGACATTTGATACTTATTAGCAGTGTGACCCTGAGCAAATCACTTAACCCGGATTGCCTCACCACCAGCGCCCCCACCAAAAAATAATCATGAAAAGGAGTTAAAAGGCAAAAAAAAGAAAGAAAAACTAAGAACTGATGAGAAACTTATCTTTCTCCTTAAATCCCCGCCCACCCCTACCTTCCCTATTGCTGTTGAGGGCACCACCATCTGCCCAGTCCCTCATGTTCACAACCTAGGAGTCATCCTGGACTCCTCACTATCTCTCATTCCCCACCTCGCCTTAACTAATCTGTTGCCAAGGCCTGTAGATTTCACCTTGGCAACATCTCTTGAATACTTCTTCTCTTCTGACACTGCCACCACCCTAGTGCAGGCAGGCCCTATCATCTCCCATTTAGACTACTTCAACAGCCTGCTGGTGGGTCTGCCTGTCTAAAGTCTTTCCCCACTCCAATTCATCCTCCAAATTAGCCACCAAAATGATTTTTCCTAAAGCACAGGTCTGACCATATCACACACCTACTCAATAAATTCCAGTGGCTCCCTAGTGCCTCCAGGATCAAATATAAAATGCTCTGGCATTCAAAGCCCTTCATAACTTAGCCCCCTCCTCTCTATTCAGTTTTCTTATACCTTACTCCCTGCCATGTGCTATGGCAAGTTAGGTGCTTCATAGGTGTTTACTGATTGATTGATGTATTAATCAGGAGAGGATAGAGGAGGGAAGAAGTAGATTACATCAAGCACAAATCACTAGTACTTTAAACAGTCCTCACTATTCCCTTCTTTCTAAAATGGGGAGGTGTGAGAAGAAGAACGCAAAATAAGAGAATAGGATGCAAGGAAATACACAATTAACAACCATAACTGTAGATAATTAAATGTACCAACGAACTCAATGGCAGTTAAAATTAGAACAGAAATAGTTAACTGGGGAAAGAAAACCTTTGGAGCAAGTTTCTCTGATAAAAGTGTCATTTCTAAGATATAAAGAATTGATTCAAATTTATAATAGAAATGGTTCCTTACTTTATAAATGTTCAAAGGATATGAACAGGCAATTCTCAAAGGAGGACATCCAAGCTAATAAAAAATAATTTCCCCAATATAAATTTGACTCAAGGGAAATCAGCACATAAAACATTTAAAGTGTTTCTCTGTTTAAATTCTCTTAAATAAGGATACATTGCTCACATCTAAATGTGACCATCTTTTAAATAATCATTACACAGAACTTCAGAGATTCAATAAATTTCTGTCTAACACCTTCATTTTGCAGAAAAGGAAACTGAGAGCCAAAGAGGTCAGCTGATTGCCCCAGGTCTCCAAGTACATCTGTAGCAGTCAGTCCTCCTGACTCTCCAGCCCAGGGCTTCTTCCTCTATATCTCACCATCTTAATGCTACAACATTCACCACAAAGGAGACGAATGTTTCAACAGGGATTTCACTCTTTTAAAACCATCCATTCTACCTTAGCATCCATAGGCCTCAAATTTTTTACAAAAACAAAACAAGAACCCCTGAATGACCACTAACATCCTGCCAGTGGTAGCTGAGGTAAATCGGCATCATTAATCTTTAATTTTAAGAGTCACTAAAAGTTCCTTGTCTTACACAGATTCAGTCAGTCAATAAGCA